TGTTGTCTGCTGAAACTCATTCCAACTATCAGTAGTCATTATATCATATTTGTATAATTTAAACTTGTATTTTTTAAGTCATGAGGTGGTGTAAAATTATACTGTATATTGGTATGGATTATACAGTGATTACTATTAGTAATACCAGTAGCTGGTAATAATGTAGGTCATGTTGTAATGTTTAGAATCTGTTGTGGAATCCATATCTCATCTATTTGGCTAGATAAATTAGCTTACTGCCATGTAGGTGTAGATGGATAATAGATATGCACTAATGGTATAAAGTTGTGGGCTAGTAGGTAACTATAAAGTAATGATTTGTGTGTTTTATTTAAATCTTGATTAAAGTCTCCTATAATAATAGATATAATTTAAGTTTGGAGTGCTTGTGTTATCTATCGGGTGATCTGATCTTGTATTTTAGTATTAGCTAAGGTATGTGTTGGGAGATAAGCTGAGATAATACGAAATTTATTGTTGTATAGAAAAAATAAGTCGATTGCAATTGCTGTACTATTGAGTGTTTAGATGTTGTAAATATAAGAAGTAAGAGTTTGTGATAGGAGAATAGCTGTACCCATGCTGGACTCCTAGGGGTGTTGTAGGGTCATTTGGCTGTTATTAGAAGTAAAACATTTGTAGTGTGTGTTATGTAGCTGCAGGTTGTTATATCAGGAGTATGCTAGTTTTGTCTCAGTAATTGATATAATGTCTAGTTGCTGAGCTAAACAATAATCAAACCAAAGTTGTCTTTTAGTATTTTGGTTGAAACCTTGAATGTTGTAAGTAGCAATAGTTAAAGGTTTTTGTAGTAAGTTGGTTATATTCTGTATATTATTGTTATTATTATTATTGTTTTGTATAATTTGATTACTTAGTATCTATGAGCATATTATTTGCTAATGGTTGGTGTGTAGAGTCAGCTGTTTGTGTTTTAAAAATATCCTATATTGGGGTTGGTAGTGGAGGTAAATTGAGTAAAAAATCTGGGATTGCTTTTATATAAAGTGTTGTTATAGTGTCTTCATTGTAGGTGTTATTTGAGTTTGTTCACTGATTGGCAATGTGATAGTAATTTTGTGATTAGCTAAAATTATATTAATTTCTTGAAGGTTGTCAGGTAGTGGTGGCAAAGGTTCCTTGGTTGTCTGTGTATCTAGGCTATTAGAAATTCCATCAGTTTTCAGGTTCAGATTAAGAACTGTAGTGGTACTGAGAGTGGTTATATTAATCCATTCTGTAGGCAGATGAGTAAAGTAATAGTGTTGTTGCAGTAATCTTACTGTGTTGATTAGTTGTTGTGGATTGGTAATTGGTATAGTTATATTATGTTGACTAGTGACTTCTTCACTAGTAGGTAGGCGTAGTTTAGCTGTAGGGTTGGCTTGCATAATTTTGTTAGGGAGAGGGTAGCATATTATATAGTGTTGTGATACTTCTTTAATGAAGGCTTTTGCAATATCATCCTGTGTAATAGTGTAAGTATACTGATCTTGTGTTTTAATTTGTTCAGGATTAGTTAGAAGTAGTGGTTTAACAACAAAATAATTATTGGGAAGGAGATGAATCTATAGTATTGTCTAAGCTGGAAGATTACTTCAGTTAAGGGTGCTTGAGCTAGTATCAAATTATTAGGAAATTATCTTCTGACACTTGGATTTAACTCCTGGTATGTTGTAGGTAATGGCTGCTTAGGAAGAGGTAGCTAAAAGTATGATGGTGAGATTGATTCGCAGCTATAGTAGTCTGCTAGTTTCTGTCTATAAAATGATAAGTATTGGAGTGATTGTTGATTTTTATAGGAAAATATTGTTGTAGCTGAGATGGTAGGTCAGTCATATTTTCAGGTAAAGCAGGCAGTGTTTGAAAGTAGGCATCTGGTAGCTTGTCAAACTTAAAGAGTTTTCTCAAACAGCTGACAATTGCTGCTGTATGAGATCGCTGTTTAATTGGAAATGCAAAGGGGAAGTCCTTTGTAACCTCTGATGATATGAGATCAGGAAGGAAGTAGCTTATCTTGAAATGCATTAAGTACAGCATTCTTAATTTCCTTTGGGGTGTTATCATTGTTATTTGGAATTTGGAGAAATCCTTTTGCATAGTAAATTAGTTTAAATACTGTGAAGTGGCTGCTTGTAATAAAGTTGGTGTTGGCAAGGTGCTGTGTAATTAGCATTCTTTTAAGCATAGTATGAATAGTTCTACATGTCTTACAGTTGATAATTGTGAGCTGGTTATTGATTTTGTAATTGGCTAATGCTGTATTGTATAAATTTGTGTATTCTTTTTGATGTGCTGGCATAGTTTTAAGATTTCTAGAAAATGTAGTAAAGAATCTTGTATCTAGATGTTTAAACTTCATATATATTGCTGGCGGTAGTTCAAATTGTGTAGGTGTAGACCCGACTTTGTATTGCACAAATTGATATATCCCATTAGAAGTTTGAAGTAAGGTGGCTATAGTGTTATATGTCCAGTAATTTTGATCAAATGGCTGTATTGTACCTTGTACCATTTTAGTCGCAACTTGATGCACCCATACAGTACTATCAGATATCTCAAAGGTTGGTAAGTTAAGATTTTTGCGTGTAATTTGGCTGTAAGATAATTTAGCTGTTTCAGTAAAGTCTATAGTAGTAGCAGTATGTGTAGGTGATACTGTTGATGGTGATTGTGGCATCTGTATACTAGTATTAGTGTTAAGTGGTACAAGCCTAGGTCATTTTTTGATACTACGGATCTCAGTTGGGTGATTGCGTATCTGAACAGTTTGGTGAGTAGTGGTGTATCCAGGTATATTAAATTGTGCTGCTGACCATTTGTTTGTTTTGTGCGAGCTAGAGGCTGCAGCTGGTACACTGTTAGTAGTGTAGCCTCTGATAGAATGAGTACTGTTTTTGCCTTTGTTATTAGCTGTTGTTTTTGTAGTACTGGTAATATTGTTTTGGTTTGCATCCTCATCTGTATCGATCTTAGGAATCATATTGTATAGAATAAGTGGTAGTTCTTTAAAGTATTTTGGTGCATGGTATGCTTTTTGTGTTTGCTCATATGCTTTAATTTGTTATGTCCATGTTACAACTACGAGTAGCTTTAGGCAATTTGGTGTTAATGTTTACGGAGTTATGTTTAGAGCTTGTCAAATCAAATAAGATTGATCTGGTTGTTTCAATGTGCTTGCATATCCATTGTGCAGGAAATTTAACCATATTTGGTATACGTGCAGACTGAGAAAATTCTGCAGTAAAGAGAAATTTGTTAGCGAATTGTGAGATGTATAAGGTGATAATAAAGGTAAGTTTAAACCAGTCCGTGATACTAATGTTGATAAATTCTTTTATATATTCAGTTAATTTAATGTTAATGTTAATTTAATGTTAATATTAACATTAATGTTAATGTTACAATAGAAATCAATGAACATAACAACATACATATTAACATATTGATGTATCAACATATCTAAAGGCTGATAATTGGTATATAAATTAAAATTTATATTACATTACCAATTAAATATTATATAAATAATTCCTGGCACTCCAGTGAAAAAATTAGCCGAATAATTTTGGCCGATCTGGTTAATTTATTATTTCTGTATAATAATAATAAATTCAATAAAAATAATAAAAATTGGTAAGTATATATCAATTTTTATTAAATCAAGTGTTTCTATCTATTATCCGTTTATCTATTTATTCATCGGATATCCAAATCTGAATATCTGTTTTACTATTAATATTCAGATAATTATCTGATTACTCATCAAATTATTCAGATATCTGAGTAATTTGGATAATCCAGATAATCAAATACGGATAAATGGATGACAGTTTTATCTCAATTAGAACTCTAATTGAATCTATTGCTGAATAATAAATTAACCAGATTAGCAAAAATCATTTGGCTAATTTTTTTACAGATGTTTCAGAAATTATGAAAATAGCTATAACCGAATAATTATTTAGCTTATTTGATAAGTTATTAATTTCAGCATGATTAATATAATGTTTATTATTTATAGAGTTTAACATTGCTAACAAAATTATATAATCTTAACTATTACAAGGAAATAACTACCAGTATATAGTAATTTTTTTAATTTATATACAATATAGTATGTGATGATTAATTATACATAATTTTGTTGGTAATGCTAAGATATTCTGAAGCTATGAACTTACAGTATCCTTAGAAAGCTTAACACAATTACACAAAAATTTTGCAGTTACAGCTGTTTTTATAAATTCTGGGACATTTAACAAAAAATTTACTGACCAAAAATTTGCCAATTCGATAAATTTGGGATTTCGGCGATGTTATTACTAAATTAAAACTTATTGAATCAGTTAATATTTGGTCAGTCAATTTTTTGCTAGATGTCTTAGAATTTATGAAATAACTGTAATTAAATATTAATATTCTTAGGCCTGGTTGTAGTAAAATATAATTTATATTTTTTTTTGCTTTATATTAATAATAATAATGATATAATACAATATATTTATACATAATTATTAATAATGTATGTACTTAAAGATCAATGAACTCAGTGATAATTATATTATGTGAAATCACGCAATTACATTATTTGTTTACCAACTATATGATGTGATGACCACAAATATATCATTGGTAGAGTGTTCAGAATAATGTTCCAGCAATTATCAAATTATGTGTGTGATAAATTGTAAATTATGCAAATTATGTGAATCTAGGGATTAGGCTTAAAAAAAATTTCCATTGACTAATCAAATTTCAAGATTAGACATAAAAACTATCTTTTAAATATTATAGAAGATTTTTTTATAAAATAATATTTTAGAACCCTTACTAAATGGTGAGATCCTGTCCTTAATCCAAAGGCTCAAAATTTACTAGAAATATTTTATTACAAGTATGAATGTAGTTGGTATATGAGTACTGCCAAGAGAAAATGACTATCCATACTTTCAATTCTATTTTGTATTGGATACGATCCTTAATAAATTAAATAAATTATGTCAGATCAAAATATAATTGAAAGTTTGAAGGATTATTTTCTCTTGGTAGCACTCATATATAAAAAGGTAGAACAGTATAATCAATAACTTAGCTAAATTTGGAGCTTCTGATTTTTAAAAGTACTTCATTTAAACATAATTCGAGTTACTTGGTGCAAGTCAGGTTCACTTGAACCTAACACGGGTTCAGGTGAACCCAAATCAGGTCTACTTGAACCCAACCCAAGTTCAAGTGAACCTAAAATAGATTTACTTGAATCTAGTCTAGGTTCAAGTGAACCCAACCTGGGTTCAAGTAAACCAACCCAGTTTTATTTGAACCCAATTCAGGTTATCAGATTCAAATCAGGTTCACTTGAATCTAATACAGGTTCAATTGAGTCTACTTGAACCCAAACCCCAAACTTGTATTCAAGTGAACCTAAACTGGGTTTAATGAACTCAAGTTAGGTTTATTTGAATTTAACATTTAAAAAAATTGAGACTGCACACTTGGGGCAATGCTGGGTCTAAGAGCTAGTCTCTCTAATACTAAAGGATGATTGTCAGTCACAGACAAAATATTATTTTAGAACCTGAAAAGCAGGTTCAGATGCTATATAGGAACCTGCAAAGCAGGTTTCTATTTACATAATATACACTACGAAGTAGTGTATATTATTTATATGTTTTATTTAACATTAAATGTTAAATAATTAATATTAAATAAATAAAGTTAAATTAATAATTTTATTTATTTAATGTTAATCATTTAACATTAACGTTAAATAAATAACGTTAAATGAGTAACGTTTTATCATTATGTTAAAGTATATGATATATTGCATATTATATTTAATAAATTTAAAGTGCGATATGTCATATACATTTAAAAAACAATAAATAAAAAATAAGGCAAATGTAACATGTCATATGCGATCAACAATCATGTGACATGCATCACATGATGTGTATTACATAATATGCATTGAACCCAAGTCAGGTTCAAATGCACCTAATCTGGATTCATTTGAACCCAAGTAGAGTTCAAATAAACCCGATTTGGATCCTAATTCAGGTATAATTGAACCTAAGTCAGATTTAAGTGAACTCAAGTCTTATAAGATCATATGACTTGACCGATCAGCAAAATTGGTATAAAGGGTACCAATCATCAATGTGACAAATAAGCATTTACTATATAACAGATATAGTAATACTTAATCGTCACATCCAATTAATCACATCCTAATGAACCTGGATTGAATTCAAACAAATCTAACTTAGGTTCAAATAAATCTGGGTTAGATCCAACTAAACCCAGATTGAATCTAAGTGAACCCGGATTGGATCCAAATAAACCCAACTTAGGTTCAAATGAATCCAGTTTCATTTGATTCAGCTTGGGCTTACTTGGATCCAACCCTGTTCACTTGGATCCAACCTGGACTCACTTGGATCCAACCGAGATCACATAGATCCAACTCAGGTTGGATCCAAATGAATCTAAACAAATCCAAGTTGGATCCAACAAACCTGAGTTGGATTTAAATAAAGCCAACTTAGGTCCAAATAAACCCAACTTAGGTTCAAATAAAACTGGCTTGGATACATATGATTTTAGTTGAATCTAAGTAAACTCAAGTTGGATCTAAGTGAACCCAGGCTAGATCCAAATGAAACTGGGTTGGATCTAAATGAATTCAATTAAATCTGAGATGGATCTAACGAACCTAGTTTAGATCTAAATAAACCCAACTTAGGTTCAAATAAACCTGGGTTGGATCTATATGATCCCGGTTAGATCTAAGTAAACTCAGGTTAGATCCAAGTGAACCCAAGCTAGATCCAATTGAACCTAGAATGGATCCAAATAAGCCTAGGATGGATCCAAATGAATCCAAATCAGGTCTACTTAAATTCAACCAGTTTCAAATCAGGTTTACTTGAAACTAATACAGGTTCAAGTATATTCAAATTGACTTACTTGAATCCAAGTCAGGTTCAGATGAACCCAATCTGGGTTTGTTTGAACCTAATTCAGGTTACAGGTCAAAATCAGGTTCACTTAAATCCAACCCAGGTCTAAGTGAACCTGATCCGAGTTCAAATTAGGTTCACTTGAACCTAACACAGATCCAGATAAACTTAATTTGGGTCTACTTAAACCCAAACCCAGGTTTAAGCAAACCCAAAACAGGGTTCAAGTGAACCTAACCTGGGTTCATATGAACTCAAGTTAGGTTTATTTGAATTTAATATTTAAAAAAATTGTAACTACATACCCAGGGCAACGCCTGGGCCTGAGAGCTAGTATAGAAACTGAAAGTAGTAAACCTATAGGAAAAATTTATAAAATAGCTGCAACAGAAAGTGAATTTCTATCTGAATCTGATGATGAATCTGATGATAAATCTGATAATGATGAATCTGATAATAAACAAGAATCTCAGCAGAAAATAAAAAGAAAAAGAAAAGAAGTTATTGGTAGTTATAAAGAAAAAGAAAAAAAAAGAAATTGTTGAAGTTAAAGAAGCTAAAGAAATTGAAGAAATAGAAGAATCATTTGACTTACCGATTGATTATGAAATTAGTAATGAAGAAATAGAATTTCTAATTGGTTCTAATTATAAATATTCTGATGATGATAAAGGTTTAAAATCATTAAAACTTCAACAAAAAAAGAAAGGCAAAAGAAAACTTTACAATTAAAGAGTTTGCAGTATATAGATTTATGATTAGAGACTCAAATAGAACAAAAAGTACTTTACATCTTGCTGGAAGATTGTTTCAACAATATATATAAAATGAGAAACAAATAATTTTATGTTGGCAATATAAAAATCAAGCCAAGTTGAGAACTGAAACATATTATAGATTAAATGATATGATTTCTAATGAAGATGCAAATATAAATAAACTTGGTAAACAAATAATATTGCCATCAAGTTTTACAGGATCTACAAGATATTTTCAGCAATTATATCAAGATGCAATGGCAATTGTTAGAGAATTTGGAAAACCTAATTTATTTATAACAGTAATACTAAATCCAACTTTGCCTAAAATTACAAATGAACTTTTACCAAATTAAAAATCTTCTAATAGACCAAATTTAATTGCAAGAGTTTTTAAATTAAAATTAAATGCAATAACTGATGATTTATTTAATAAAGGAGTTCTTGGAAAAGTTATTGCGCATATACATGTAATTGAGTTTCAAAAAAGAGAGTTAATATATGCATATATATTAATAATAATGGCACCTGAAGATAAACCACAAACTCCTGAAAACTTTGATCAAATAGTATCTGCTGAGATTCCAGATAAGGATAAACAACCAAAATTATATAAAAGAATATTACAAGTGAATTGTAGCCTTCTTAATATAGTACAAGTAACAAAGCACACAACTACAGGGATCCTCTATGATATATAATGGTGTGGAAGTAGAATGTAACTTCACTAAAAGCAGTTCGAGAAAAGAATATAATTAAAAAAAGATATATTTTATAAAACTTTAATTACAAAAGAAATTCTATAACTAAAGAGATATCTGAATCTAATTCGAACTATCTGGCAAGAAGGAAAAAAGCTAAGATTTATATATCTTTTAAAATAATAAGAAACAATAGAAAAGGTAGAAAAAGTAGAAAAGGTAGAAAAGGTAAAAACAGTAGAAAAGGTAGAAAAGATAGAAAAGGTAAGAAATGTAGAAAAGGTAAAAAAGGTAAAAAAGGTAAGAAGGGTAAAAAGGTAAGAAAGGTAGAAAAGGTAACTGTTTTATTGCTAATTCTGCTAATCTACTAATTTGCTTATCAATTAGCTAATTTGCTTATCAATTTAACTAATTTGTTAATTTGTTAATTAATTTATTAATCCATCAATTATTTGTTAATCTTTTCCTACTTAATATAGTAATATAAAATAATAGAATTGCAATATAAAATAATAGAATAACAATATAAAATAATAGAATAACAATATAAAATAATAAAGTAATAATATAAAATAATAAAATAATAATATAAAATAATAAAGTAATAATATAAAATAATAATATAACAATAATAATAATAATAATAATAACACAACTCTTTTTGAGGATCCTCTGGTTAACAACAACAAAAACCAAACTACAGTAAAACGTATAGAAAAGCAATGAAGCAGATACTAAAACTTGGTTCTATAAATAGAAGCAGCTTGTTGTTGATAAAGTTTAAGCATCTAGGCATGAAATACTGAGGAGAGGCGCCAAAAAAACGGACGGTTTTTTTTGGGGTCAAGTTTTCTTTCTGGCAGACTGCCCAAAGTATTCGGCATTCAAACCAAAAGGTTTATTCTGAGAACAAGTCTATAGAAGTAGCCAATGTGCACTCCTAAGTGATAGAAATGGAAAAGCTGAACTATACAACTATAAAACTTACAAGAAGAACCTCACATACTCTCATTGTCTCACTACTTTTTTTCAAGAAAATTTTTATAAAAAGTAGGCATTTTAGCTTACCCCCTTCAAATAATCGACATCACATGTATCAAACAAGTCAGTATCATTTATCTCCCAAATTAGAACATGACAACAAATACATATATATATGTGCCTCGAATGCTATGAATATCTGTACAAATAATGCTCCAAGACTCGGTCCTGACCTCTCTACTTTAAGCCGGTCGATGAAGTTTTTCCTATTAGATTTTTACTATCACATACTAGTTTAGAAAATAGAAGTAAAGACTAATTTGTCTAGTCAGTATATAATTTTTTCAAGCCACCCACAGGATTATAACTGTGAAATTAAGATTAGCAAATTTTCTGTTTTGTTTTGTTTTTTTTTGATATTCCCTTACTCTTTTTTTTTCATATTTTGTATTTTTTTACCATAGTTCTCTATACCTCTGTATTTTTTTTTAGTTTGTTTGTTTTATTTTCTGATTTTATTTCTTAATGAGCGGGTAGCCACCAGTTGATAAACAACGAAAAAAAGTCCTTAGTGAGTTAAAGACCCTGAAGGAGGCAAGAGCTACTGAGGCAGGTCACGCCTGGTATATAAAATCACGTGGTCAAGTTCTTCATTTGGTTAGATCTACTTTAGTTAGAGATAAATTATTTGTAATTTTGAATAACTTGATCCCAAATAAACAAGAGCAGGATAGCCGAATTAGAAATAATAATAATAATAATAATAATAATAAAACTAATAGCAAAACTAATGATAAAGCTCATTCTATATCATTTCTGTCCTTTTTAAAAATGAACTCTGTGAATTCTAACTTTTAGAAGTGATGAAAAATTTTCTTCACTTAGCTCTTCCAAATTACTAAAAGTAATAGTAGTAGTGAAGTAAAGACAAGATAGTCCACAAGCTTGGAGAAGTTGATAAATTTGCTCTGCGCATTTCTATGCTTTAGCAGCACATCGAGGTTCCAAAACTTTTCTAAGTTTATCTCGAATCTTCTGTGTTTTTTTCTTATTATTATCAGCTTCTTTCTTTAGCTGTTCTAAATAATAAGAAGTCTCTAAGATTTGAATTTGATAGCTATATGATTTCTCACAGCTTTCTTCTTTTAATCAATTGCTAATTTTTTTAAGTTTCCCCTTAAAGATTATTCCTGTTAGAGGTTTTTGTCGAGTAAAGACTTTATCTTTTTCTTTTATTAAATCTTTAATAAGTTGAAAGAGTGTATTGTTTTCTGTATTTTGGGTCACCACAATATCTATATTAGTTTGTGAAGGAAATAGAATTGATTCTTCTTTGATAGATTCAGTGAAAACAATGAAATTACCAAAATTTATATTTGGTAAATAATTATCTAATACATCAGCACTATCTAAGTGTAGTGTGGGTATATCTGGTCCTGTTTCTGGTGGAAATTGTAATGATGTAATAATATTAGTTTTATTATGCAACATAATTAGTTACTAGTTATTGTCGCAGATTAAAATAAAATCTGATCAAAATGAAAATGGAGACCTCTCATGCCCACTCTTAGAGTCTATAAAACCTACTATACTCATTTATTAATAAGCCTAACCCTAAACTCTACCCCTAATGCTAAAAAGAACCCCAAAAAATGGCTTCCAAAAATTTTAAATTTTCTTTAAAAAACAGAAAAATTTCATTTTGATCAGATTTCGTTTTAATCTGTGACAGTTATTGTTAAGCTATTGTTAGCAGCAAGAGGGTCCTAGTTTCATAGTACAAGGAAATTGTTTAAAGCATTTATGGTCTGGGGCTATAATTGTTACGGAATAGAGATTTTCATTTTTAAGAGGTTGAGTGAAAAACTACTAAATTAGAAAATAAAAATTTGGGTAGGAGGTGTTTCTATTTATAATTTTTGTAGTAATACAAACTAAATTAAGGATTTTTGAAATGTTTGCTTGTATATCTAAAGTGGAGTGTCTTTGTCTGCTATAATTGTTAGACAAGTATTTGTTTGACCATGTGCTATAGATCTTCAATTCTAAAAATAAAATTTTCTACAATGTTCTATAAATTAAAAATTCTTTGTCTGTGTTCGTCTCTTTAAAAAGTAAGATCACTGAACTTCAAGTACTAATTTTTCTAAAATTAGCTTTTGTTTATTTTAATTGTCTATAGATTTCTTGTTTTAGCAATCACATTGTCAGTTATGATTGTTTTCTGCATATATTATATGATCTTTTTATTATTACTAGTAATGTTTTTCTATTATTTATTCCTTAACTTTTGGCATTTATTGTATCTAAAAATCTTTTTACACAGCTTTCAGGTCCTTATCTTCTTTTTCTTTTCCCTTTTTCTTGTTCTAAACTTTTTCTAATATTTTCGTCTTTTCTTCTTGTAGTTTTTATCGAAAAACTTTGTTTTTTGCTTTGTCTGTTTCTTTTCGTTTATCTTGCTATCATTCAAAGGTATGTATACTTGTTCTGGCTGTGCACTAAGTTTTGTCTAATTTAGGCATATGGAGCTTGACCAGTCTTCTATTTTGGTGCCTAATATAGTTGGCCCAAATAGATATTTTCTCCTTTGTCTTTTTCTTTTTTCATTTTGATACCCATAGTCTCTTATGTAGGTAGAATAAGAACTTATCTCTATTAGTATTGCAAGTAATAGATCTTGCTTGTAATATTCTTGGAATAAGAGTTTTTCTAATTGTTTCTTTTATTCTTTTCCAAGTTCTATGTTTAGAAATAAATTGTTTCTAATTAAGTTTTGCTTTACAGATGCCTCACTCTGGTAAGGGTAGTTCAGTTTTAAATCATTTATCAGTGCTTCATAATTAAGTTATAAGTTTGAAGGCAGAAGCAACTGAAAGAAATCATTCAGTTCTAGAAGCAGCAAGAGAAGGATTTATATAGAAAACTCAACTCTAAAACATTACTAAAGAGAGAAATAGGCTATGTGTTGGGTAGACAACTTGGAGGATGAGGTGCAAAAATTAAAATGGATAGTACAGGAAAATAGTAATAGTAATAGAAATTATGCCTGTAATATTTTGTAAATAAAATAAAATAAAACTTTTAAATCAAGTTGTAATAAAATTGTAATAATAAAACTTGTAAAAATAAATAAATAAATAAATAAATTAATGAATAAATTAATTAATAAATAAGTTAATAAATAAATAAGGCAAAAATAAATTGGCAACCTGTCGCACAGCAACCCCTATATAATCGACCAATTATTTTTTAGATTGGCAATCATATAAGTAGATCATAGATCATATTT